CAATGTTCAGTGGGTTGGTCGGCTGGTGATTGAACTGACGGGCGATCGCAGAGCACCTCGAAGGCCGATTTGCAACAATCGCTGACGCTGTATCGTGGGTAGTCGTTGGATTTTTTTGCGGTTGTTTGCCAGGCGTAAGGAGAATTTGGCTAGTACCAAAGCGTGGAACGTACCAATAAGAACGGCAGTCTAGAATTGACCCCCTCCACTAGTAACTGATGGCGATGTGATCAATCTGGGTCCAGCGCAGTGAAGAGGTGTGCGGTTTAAAGGTAAGTCGATGGCGTTTCTTGTGCGAGAGGTTCGTGTTTGACCGGAACAATCAATGTTCCGTTCATAGTTGGAGTAGGCGATCTCCGTTGTCCGTCCGGTTGGCTGGGATTGCATGTGGTCCGCGCAGAAGCCTTTCTGATTCGTCCAAAGATCCCACTTGAGCATTGAAGTCTCCGGCGACTACTACGACATCCGTTGATTGAACACTTTGGAGTAGTTGAGAAAGATCGATGCAGAATTCATCCCTGATTTCCAGTCAAGAAGTGCCTTCAACGGGCTTGAGGCTTAGAACGCCAAGCAACCCTCGCTGGTTAATGCACTTTTCTTCTAATTTGATCCCATAATTCACCTACACGCATTTGGATCTTGCCCTAGTTCTGATTCAGAGCAGGCACCAACGTCCGGGTCAGATGAGCGATGATCTGATAACCGAGTTTGGCGGGATGTTGGAGAGTGAACTGCAGCAGAACTAATATGTGGTCAGATTCAGAACAGACGGTCCAATAGGACCTACAATTTTGAACTGAGCCAGGCCAACGGTAGCTTGCTGAACTGGAGCGCAGCGTTGCCATCGGTCGAGAGCTGTGTCGGAAGTTGGTGCTAGATAGGAACAGATGATGATCCGCACAGAACTGAACACGTCGATCACCGTTACCTGTTTGCTGGCAGGGTAGAGCACAACTTCCGCCTGGACAAGCTTCTGAAACGCTGTTTTCCAACGGGCGTGTTAAAGTCACCTGCAGGTACAACTATATCGGAGCTGCGACTCAGCCGCATGAAATCCATGAGTTCATCCTATCAGAACTGCAATTGGTCGGTGCGTATGCCGATACGATGAACAAACACATTTTAGTGTTCCTTCCCTTCCCGACGCCGATTGAACCCCGGAGACGCACTGCACATAAACGACTGTTTACGGGGATCCAGTCGATAAGAGAAGACTCCGCCCTGTAATTGAGTACAATACCTATCCCGCTGAACGAGCTTCATCGTCGCCTGATGTCCGAAGAACGTATCTCGTCGACAAATCTGGCGCGATTAAGTGGCTTATAGCAGTAGGATCCTGGATTCGAGTTTCCGACACGCAGCATATATCGATTCCTAAGGACTGCATTGTACGGGCCAAACAAGCTTTTTGACCAAGCTGCATCAATTTCTCACGTTGAAGGCCACCAGATTAAGTGCTTAACGGACTTTGGAATCTGTAATTCACTTCGTTGTACAATACTTGCAGTGCTATTTGGCCGCGACGTTTGGCAAGCGATATCCAAGTTCCCTGAGGGACTATTGTAGGTTAGAAGGAGGGGCAAATGGAGAGGGCTGGGTGCTGGAGACAAAGAAGTAAACAAAGCTTGAGATATCTGAGCAGTAGCCCACGCTGCTCGATGCAATGGGCAACCTGGTCCTGATTATCCTGCGCGACGACCGATGCAGTATGGAATTATTTTTATTTTGTGTATGTATTGTAAGACGTACAGCGCACAGTCGGCTACTGGCTGGAATACACTCAAAAAGCAAGCAGCTTGGCACTTGGTGCAATCCCGACACCAGCAACATCGTGAGCTTCGGACGGCGAATCCTCTGACAAATGAAGGGCGAAGCGTGAAGTTGGATCAGGAGATCGCCGGGAGATAATAAAATAGGGTCTTCTATGCGTGTTTCGGAGACACAGCATACATCTAGATTGAAAGTTCCATGGGTTTTGGCCAAGGCAGCTTGTTGACCAATCTGCAGACATTGAATGCAGCTAACTGAAAAAGGAAATTCGGCCTCAAAAGTTCTGCAACTTCTGATTGTTTGGCCTTGATGGTAAAACGCTGAGTGATATTCGATGGTTCTTGTAAACAAGTTTAGGATTGAGAAGAAGAACTAGACAGATGTGAAAGAAGTTTTTCCAAATGAGCGCCTTAGACTTTAGGGCACGACACTCTTCGCGACAGCCAACATCGACGAAGGCTATTTTCTTTGGGAACATTTACCGGAGCCTTCGGCTCCAAAGTCCGCCCCACAAGGCGGTGGGGCTTAAATCAAGATAAGTAGGCTCACTTTGATATAATTTCTCAGGGATTTTCGGTGTAACAGCAAATGTTGGTGCTACAAAGCCAGCGATTCCTCCACATTAGGGTTACTTTTTTTTGCAAGTGGGCTAAATTACCGACTAATTTTGTAACCCAGAAGCGCAGTACACTCCTTTTTCAGTCATTTCCGTGAAGGCTGCTATCCAGTGAACTGGAGTTCAGTTTGGCAACATATCAGTTTGGGTTGGACGGATAGGATGTTTTCCTTCAGGACTGGTATGATATGTAAAATGCCCATATTCGGAGATATCAACCAACAGACTGTTTCTACTCCTTATTAAATATATTTCACGAAACCAGTTCCCCTAACCATTTTCAAGAGGGCGAGAGGAAACATCATGTTGAATTCCACTATTTCGTGGTGATCTCACCAGCTGTGTACATTCAGATCACATTTAGTGAGAGGAGTGACAGGCCAACATACACATGGAATAGAAATCAGTCAATAATTTGAACCGGATGGGCATGGTGCGTAACCACTACTCGGAGGGACGACACTGGCACCTACTAGGGCAGCGCGAGGCTGGCCACAATTTCGGTCTTCATACACAAATGGAGCTTGTAACATCAAATAGCAGCTGCCTCAGGAAATCTTAGTAGATCGCCACCCTTCTNCTGGCGGATCAAGACACAAACGGCCTCCTCGTTGTGTCACATTCTTTGCAATCCCGTATACTAACATTTCGTTTAATCTTTTCAATCGCTGACTTCGAACAGAGGCACACACATGGGTTAGCAGTTATGGTGAACGAATGTGTACACGCATACAAACCTCACAAAACATAGAAGTAGAAGGTCTATTCCTCGGTCAGTGGATTGACAGTATCAAAAACGTTTGTGCTCATAAGGTCGGGTGATGTAATCGAATAAACGCTTCACTGGTTGTTAGTGCTGCGATTACGCAACAGTGGTTTGAAAGACGAATTGGGATCAACTGTATGTCCGGTTATCATGATATGTTTTGCAACAGATGAGCCTGGATTTCTTGTGATCACTTGACCATCGATTAATGAAATGGATAACGGGGACTCAGTGATTCAAATGCATTATAAGTCGGGCGATTGAATTGAACAGAAGCTTGGATCCGTCAGACGCCGTGCGTTCGCCTGTCTCCAAACCTGTCATTTTTAAGCAAAACGTGATCTGAATGTATGTTCACCTTTGATGAGATCACCACATCTTGCGATCATGATGCTCCTGAAAATTCCATTTCGTCTGTTCGCCGAGCTTGGCAATTTGTTTGCAAACGATCCAACACCAGCCGAGGTGACATCATCAGTGCTTATGAAGTAGCAGTGTTCTGCCTGTGCCCGTTCGGTTATATAAGCGTTCTTCTCCACCGACTATTTTCGTCCGCTGTTCTCACTGTGTTCGACTCGGTCCGCCGTTGAACTGCTGCGAGCGGGTGGGAGGAAGTTGTCCTTTCGTCCCGATTGCGGTTTCCGTCCGTTCTCATGTCACGGCGTGACCTTTGTTGCGTCATTTGGTCCTTCAGTTGCATTGGCGTGTACACGTGATCCAGTTCGATGTGCCTGTTTATTGAGTTGATTGAAGAGTGCCAGGCCTCGAGAAATTCTCTGGCGTTTTTTGACCGGGCTTGGTCGATAATTCTCACTGATTCGAAGTCAAATTGATGTCCTTCTTGATCTTCGTGGAGGGAATTCAACGATAGTGGGTCATGCCTCCTGACTGCTGATTGGTGTTCACGGATCCTTGTTGACAGTTTTCTCCCAGTGTTTTGAACAGTTCTTGCAGTTCAACG